GATGTGTTTGATGCTCATTAGTTTGCCAGTTGGTTCTGTTGCTGTATACCTGGCTCTCATTTGATAATACTTCGATTGATCGAGATTTACCTGATGAAGCAGAAGAAGCTTCCTCTTCTTGAACACTTTGTTTTGTACTTGTACTTGTTCAGGAGTATCCATGTTAATTTTTCTTTAGTTCATACAGGCTGAATATCAGCACAATGGGCATTTTTGGTCATTAAAACGAAGTTGTTTAAATATTTCAACACATCTGACCCTGTGACCTTGAAAAAAAGGTCAAGGTCATTTATTTTAACCCTTTTAACCCTTTTAGCCCTTCATCCCAGCATGCAACAGGCCAAATATCAATACTCTGGGCCTTTTGATTTTTGAGAAGTCATTTGAATGGAAAGCATGCCTGCGGCATATGGCTGATGGTACACAACAACAGACGAAACATAATGGCTATAGGTCATCCTGACTCTTCAGGTCAAATGACCTAATGAGGCCAAGACTCTTAACATAAGGCCCATTGCATGCTTAGATGTTTCTTCAAATGAACATATAACTTTAACATACTTTCAACTTTACAGGGGTAAAGTATGTTTAAAGCTTCAAACGATTTCTCACAGCTCAGCATCACGATATTTTGCAAGTATTAATGATTTGGTGTCCAGGACTATCCAGATTGTTCATATTATTGACCTTGACTTTCTTTTAAGGTCAAAGAGGTAATTCAAATGACTTCAATAACTTAAATGCAAAGAGTGTGATAATAACTTGTAGGATGCATAGATGAATGACTATCAAACACGTTCCAATGAATTACTATGACTTACTTTCAGTGTTACAGATGTCCAAGATGAGAAAATCTTTAAAGAACTTTTGACAAACCAAGAGTCCCTGGATAGTTCAATTTCACTTGCAAACTAGCTTATAAGAAGGGGCATTAAATTTGGTGTAAACATGACCGTTGTCTGGAAACCCTTCCAACATAGTATTCTCAGTGTCAGCTGTAGGACAGATCATGTCTAATGTTAATTGGTTCATCATGAAAGGTTTTCATTTTATACAAAATGTCACTCTAATACTCTTTATTGCCCATAATACTACATACTGCCAGCATCAGGATAGGTAAAAAAACTGTACTTTAAATAAAATGTAATTAAATACAATGGATGTTTCAAGTCAAATGAGGATATAACTTCATAGCCTATAAACTATAAAATAAACCATATACTGGTATTCTGCACACCAGAAAAATTTTAAAAATATTTGAAGCTTGGAAATCCTAGGTAGGTTGTGATTGAAAATAAAGGTGTTTTTTCTATTTCTAATTGACACCAAAACTAATTATCTGATGCAAAATCTCTCAATTTTGGCCTTTTCTTTGTCTGTATTGGCACTTGTGTCGAAACTTTGAAATGATCATTTATACATTTAAAAATAGTTTTCCTGTGAATTTAACCTGGTCATACACAATATAACAATGTCTAATTTGTTACACTGCAGTTTCAAAGGAAATTCAACTCAACACATTTAAAATAATAATAATAACAGGGCCTTGAATTATACACATGTACCAGGTGTGCAAAACAGGTAAGTCATTTCAGGGTAAGTTTTTAGAAACTTTTGCAATAGCCTTTTTGATGTACTTAACAGTTGAAAAATTTAAGTTTAGGGGATGATATTGCAACACTAAAAATCTTGTTCTTAATCATATGATATTTTTTTTTTTTTAAAATTGAGAAATAACAAAATAATCCTTAACTGCAAAATCCACCATGGTCACATGTTAGCAATTTTGTTTCACTGATAAGTTGCTAAATCAAAAAGGAAAAATGGGGACTAAAGGGAATCTACATGTGAAATTTGAGAAAGATCTATGTAGTACTTTTCAAGAAATAGCGAGTTTTTTTTTTTTTTTTAAGGAAACATACAAATGATACTCAAGAGATAAGAAATATTAACGGACGGACGGACCACGGACGCATGGCAATTTGAATAGCCCACTATTAGAATTACCCTAGAGCGTCATATATAGATCGTGATGAATTCGTCTGTTCCGTAAATTCCGTTTCGGAGAGTAGTCACGCCAAAACGGGATTCTGTTTTCCAAACGCTCGAACGCACAGGAAGGAAAGATAACAAGAAATATGAGAGAGGTAAAACCAAAAGTGAAAAGATCAAACATTATGACATAATCATCAATATTTCAACCATTTAATGATTTGATTGCATTATTGTTTTGGAAGATGATTCGATTTTATGGGCATCTTCTGGAGATTACATTGTTGTCGTCAGCGCCTGGCCACTAGCAAGGCCTGCCGATAAGTCGCTAGCCTACTGCTAAACAAACCGAAGAGGCTGGTCATCGTAGAATAAACTCAGTAAAGTGGATTGTCATTTTAACACAAACATAAGTAACAGAAATTTATATTTCTTATGCAATCGTGCAACCTTAAGTATGCTGAAGGAGGTCGAATAACGGGGAGATGGCTATATCAGGGACGTATAATACAGTACAATACTGTATTATACGTCCCTGGCTATATCAGGGACGTATCCCAGGCTATATTAAGCATTTGTAAAACATTACGATATCTTTTGTTGCAATTTAAAAAAAATATGCTTCTATTTCAAAACCATGCATTTGAGTAACTAACTGATTACTCGATGCAGTAACTATCCTTCAAATACAGGACCATTACCCATATGTTGGGTTGTGGCTTTCCTGTGAAAGTAATTTAACGAAACATCCGTTATAAAATTTAATGACAGTAGGTAACATTATGTAGTATGCAAGTTCAAACTGAAAAGTATATAACATCAAAACAAAATCTGCTTTATTATTATTAGACCTTCAAGCAGATATTAGAGTTAAAAATATTACTTATCACATTTTTATAACAACATCACTTCATTGAAATTATCGCTGGTTTGGATATCCTTTTCATCTCAGATAGCTAAAGGGTTTGGCTATCTTGGCCTAGCTATCTGCAATAATTTTTGCCATGAATGTGGTCGATATTAAAAATCTTTATCAATATTCAGATCTCCCAGAGTTACTGTCCTTCGTTTTCACTCTGATGTATCCTGCCTTTTTTTCTGGATCCAGACTCAGTCACGTGACTTCTCAGCTAATTGGTGCTTTACATTACAACCAAAAAATTTTGCTCAGTAGAAATTGGGAGCAGATAGGTTTAGATCAATCGTAGCTCATCTTACAGGCACTGTTCGGTTCAAGATAAGGCCTAACAACATACATTATTATAAGTCTGCGTAAATATTCTCCAACTAAATTTGACAAAGTGTCAATTTTCTTGTTAATGGTATATGAACAGTCATAACACTTCAGTATTGTTCAAACATTGACTGCTAAATAATGTGCAGATACCCCTAATTATCAATGATAAATTATTCAAATTTTAGAACTATATCAAAACACATATGACACCATTCACAAGCTGTTCATTATTATTTCATCTAAAGAATGTTTTATAATTGTCCATCTGACTAAAAAGAAGTGTGTTTGTCAGTAATTGACAAGAAACTTTTTTTTAAACCAGAATATGGACTTTGATCAAGGACGTATCATGTAGACCTACATACATATATGAATATATGTCTAAGTATGTTATGGAAATGTTATCAAAACCTAGTAACATGGCAACACTTTTTCCTGGAAACATACAATATTGGTTTTCCTTGAATATTGATATTGGAATATATAACATTAATACTGGAAAATCTTTTATATTGGTTGACAGCTGTTATTGATTACTATGAGCTGTGATCACGCAAGTGATTGGTTGATTTCAAAATGTATTAGTTCAATAAGAAATAATCTCTCTCTCCTAACTGATTTAAGAGTGTTTAGCCATTTTTATGTGCTTGTGCAGACTGAAATATAGATATAAATCTACATTTAAGTCAGTGGTTTTTGTAAAATGTAAGTCTTTGTTATACAGGTGACGTCTGAACATCTAGCTATCTTATGAAGGTGAACGCACAGTCCAATTTACTAATTACTGTCAAAGAGTGGTGTGACCCCTGTGAACCATAATCCTCTCACCATCACGCACGGCTGTAGTACTTAATTAGCTGAACATATAGCCAAGGCATCAACAAATAACAAGCACATGTATAACAGAAATGAAAATGAAAGATATTGTATTAAGCGCCCACTTGGATCTGCCCCAAATTATTGCATAAGGGAAAATGTTATTTTCAGGTAAAAAATGAAAGGCATGATATACAGATTTATATATTTAAATCTGTGATGAACATTATTATTTTTATTGACATTTTCACTTTTTGCTGTAGTAATCTGACCAATATTTTTACATGTACTAAAGTATTATGATTACAAAACACTACTGAAATGAATACAGAACTTATAGAAAAGAAAACTTAAGTTAAAAAGTTATTAAGATGTTTTGTCGCTATCAAAATGCATGCTTTGCTTTTGTTCATTTTTAACGTTGCGAATTTGGGATTTCATCTGCCGAGAATACTTATATTTCCTGTCCCATTTTCAACAGTCTACCTAATAATATACTGTCTACATAGATATGTGTTATTGAGCGCATGTGCTTTTCCCCTGAATATTAGATATGTGAAGAAAGCAGCAGAGTTTTTGTCAACACCAGATTTGGCAGACTTTTTTGCATCTGATTGGTCAGTGCGAAAAGGAACACTGCGCATGTAATCCAGAAATTATCGCAGGATAACCCCGAAGATAGGTTTGACAGCCAGTAAGGGTAGAGAATGAGTATCAAAGGCCCATGATTTATTCACCTGCTAAAGCAACAAGTACAGTAAGAGAAGAGAAAGGGACAACCCTTTTGATGGGCATCAAATCCTGAAGGTCATGCATATGCATGAGAGGCAAGACGAAACTCAAGAATATCAATATTTTTTGTTTTCATTTCAATAGATAAAGACTGGAAGCTACATCTTCATGCCCAACTTCAAGTTATCCATGTAGAAAGGAGAAGGTCTTGTCAAGCATCAACATGACCTGTCCCAGGCTGGTCTCCAAAGATTTAGTCTCTGTGTATGTTGGACATATCCATCATGAGGTCACCAAGGTATAAACATTTATTGTTATCTGTGCACTTTCAGCATACTTGGTAATAGAAATGGATGTGTGAGTTATCTTTCCTTAGGGAAAAAGATAGCTTACATGTGCTTCAGTATAAAAGTGTCAGCCATTCACAATACTGTGAAATCATGTATTTTGCTGTGTTTGTGTTTTGTGTGAAAAGAAGTTATTTCATTAACCCTAGATTTTGTAGATTTACATAGCGGAATATGAACACAAATGAAGTAAAGTTAAAAGATTTCACTTAAGTTTGCAGAAAATAGGTATAGGCTAGAGTAGTGAGTAATGGTATATGATCTGCTTTTGGACTAAAGAAGTGGCAGCTCTCACACTTACTTAGGACGGTCTAAAGTTGACTAATTTCAATTAGCTGGTTTGGTCCAAGAAATAACATGCCACAAACAGCTGCAGATTGAGAAACATGACTGACAAGACAGTACATGTGTTGTTTAACCAGGTAGCCTGATGCAGGTATGTTAGGTTATATGAGACAGATATTGATCATGACTTGTTTGAAATGTTATAAATACATACTGACACACACATTTATCACCACATTCCTGCAAGAGGTGTATGCAGAGGGTTACCTCTTTTAAGTAGGTTTGATTGTGTAAGATTCATCTCATCCAGTAGAGTACCAAAGGAGGTTGACCTCAATCAGGTATTAGCCCCTGTGATAAAGGGAACCAGGATAATGGGAAAAATGATGATTTATTAAGGTAACAAGAAAAATGATAATTTATTAAGGTAACAAGCTTATAGTTCGAAAGTGGATTGCTTGATTGAACACCTTAGAGATTTCTTTGTTTGTACTGAAGCCGATGAGTATAATATCGTAAAATTGCCCGTGAAGTGATTGGCATTTAGCATTTAGAAACTGTATACTAGGTAAGTAGAGGTCATGGTACCTTCAAATGGGCAAGCATACTGGTCAGATGCATGAAAATTACTTTAGTTAATTGGACTGTGCTAGGCCTAGGGGGAGATGCTGTTGGATTTGGGCATAAAGGGGATGCACAGATATATATCTACAATGTAGGCTGGCATTTGGCATCTAAGTAGTTGTCTTTTTTGTCAACTACTACCAATATGTCTGACCGACTCCTACTGAATGGTTAGTGTGAGCCAGTCATAACCCTATATATAAGCAAGTACAATGTATTGATGACAAGTATTGTAAATGCATTAAAATACTGAAGATTCATGTCAAGTCATAAATATTTTTCATTGTGTATTCACAATAGTCACAATTTTACACATTTTATAACAGCATACTAGCACTATCTGCTATTGATGTTGAAGAAAGCTTGTGAGAAAGATAATCTATCACCTATGTGTTATGTAGACTATACTCATGTTCTTAGAATCAGATCTCTGCAAAGCTTTGTGCTAAGTTTAGAAATCTTATAATACTGATATAATGTAATAAAGTTTACATAAAAAGAGGTAATAGAATTTCTGTTATTTTCTGGTAAAAATAAAAATGTGTTTTGTGTGTCCTTTTGGATAATCATGTTTATTGAACAATATTTGGAAATAAATAAACTGATGTTTGTTAGAGAATTGATGTAGAGATCACACTGATTTCCTGTAATGTCTTTGTTTCACTTCAGGCTGAATTGGTTGAACTATTCAGTGGGTGTGGCAGGGTTGAAGATCTCTTCATTGTAGAGAACCAGCGAGCTGGAAGCTACAACTTTGGGTATTATATTATATATAACATGTTTGATAGCAGTGACATCTTGAAACATTCTTTATATTTTATTGGTTTATAGTGAGGATCAAACCAATACTCTCGAATTACAAAAAATACCAAAATTTCCAAAGTGATGATAAAAGGACTTACTCTTACATGTAAATGGTATGCAATGTGCAAATGTAAAGAAACAATTCAGACAAAATGGGATCCAATGGCTTTTATGCTGAATGTTCAACTATAAGTATTTTGTAGCAGACATTAGTTTGAAAGAATGTGAAAAGAACATTGAAACAGCCTAACAATGGTAAAATGGTTGATAATGGAACTTATTTGTAAATTATGTTTGATTGCATTGCAAATTCTATTTACATTCTGTACATTGATCTTAAATATGAAAGCAAGAGGTTTCTGTTATCCAGTAATAACATTAAGTTCTCCCCTGAATGTTGCTGTTGGTGGTTATGACTTAATAGTTTTAATTTTTAGTTTTAATGACTTAACAGTTGCTAGTTAATTGTTCATGGTGCTAGTTCAGCGAGAGTACAAGATGCAGAGGTGCAGGCTTTAAATGTTTATCATAATTAAGTTCTAAAACTGATATTGTTGAGTAAATATCAGAGCACCATCTATTATAGTAGATAAAGTATGGTATTGATATACAAAATGTGCTCATTTTTCTTGCAACAAAATATTTCAGATTCATTTTTTTTCCCATAACAGTTCCTTTCCTATGTGACCCATTTGTGCAGCCACAATTTTCAATGAACATAGGAAAGCAGTTTAACATAATGCCATTAATTTGATTTCATTCATTTAATTTGAAAGGTTTGTTCGATTCAAGAAGATGGAGAGTGCTGTGAAAGCAGTAACAGATCTACATCGCTGGAAACTCCATGGAACCACGCTTGTGGTTGACCTGGCAAAGGATACATTTGAAAAGTTCGAGAAAGGTTGGCAGTATATTAAAAAATACTTACAAAGCAACACTAGTCTAGGGTCCCAGAATCAAATAACTGTACCATATTTTCCATGTGATTAGTTATAAGTGGCAGAGTCTGTTTTTAGAGATTAAAAAAAAATTGATTCACGTATTAGCTGCACTGTTATAGTGCCGCACCCTTTTCTGACAATGTGGTGACCAGTATGTTAATCAAAAGTTTGTTGATATAACAGACAACGGAAGGATCGTCAGTGAAAAATTTCATAATATTTCACCTTGTAAGTTGCATCAAAGCCACAAACAAACATGGCGGACATTTTAGAATTTAACCCATAACCTAATGACCTTTTTATCCCAGGGTGCTATAGGCTAATGTATACTTCCTCCATGTCTTCTTGCAATCACTGTGAAGTAAGCATGAAAGTCAAGAAGATATTATTGGGGTTCATGTTAAAAGGTATAATTAATTATATCTATGAGAAGGTTGGTTCCATTGCAACTTTCGAATCATCCTTTGTAGATTACAAGTAACAATTCTACATGACCTGTTTCAGTTACAAACATATTGTGGGCGGGTACTTGTAAAAAATGCAATACCGTTACAGCACAATTAATTTTGTTATTCTCCTGATTTTTTTTGATTTTGTATCTTTTGTCCTTACAGTTTGGAAAATATGGTAGTGTGCATGATACCTATATTTGGTTCATTTAACAAGATGAATATTTTATATCTTTGTTGATGATGTAATCATCACAGTAAGCTTCCCTGTTTTTTGTGAAGTACATCATGTTGTATTAGATTTTAGAACCTGTGATAGATTTTAATTAGTTGAAAAGCATTGTTTTCAAACCTATAAGCTCATTAAATGTTTTTTCTGTTTATTTCCATTACATAACATGTTTTCATTCTATTTTGTAAATATACATCATAATATTTTTTTTTTAGAAAATCGGAATTTAATATTTATAGTCTTTATTTACCTTATTGTACTAAATCATCCTATATGAAATACTGAATATATCATAAATTATTTCATGTATTTTAATGTTGAATAACCAAATATGATCATTATTAATGTATTTCTTTAAAAAAAATTAGGTAAGTACAGATTTTAGATATTGCGGTCTTTGTCAAACAACTCAGTGTAATAGCTTCTATTGGAAGTTTTTTATCACTCTCTCATAAATATAGACACCAAGTCTTGTTTTTATAGGAAACATCAACAGGGAGGATTTGTATGGTAAAAAGGAAGGAGATAAAGCTTCTAGCAGAGTTACCCAAAGTCCAGTAGGCACAATGTCGGGGGTCAATCCTGGGGTCAAAGATGTCATGTATATGAGCAGAGTTAGGGAGACTTGTATCTCACTGGACTTGGATGCAAGACTGAAGATGCAAACATTACCTGGCTGTGGTAAGACTTGTAGAAGTAACTTTTGAAAAAAAAAAAGAAGATTGTTAAACTTTCAGTTAACTGGCAGCCAGAGAGCAAGTATTTGTTGTCAGTATACATGTGTAGTTTGAGCTAGGGTCACTTTTGTTTATGAGAAAAATATGGTTTGTTGACATCTTAAAGATAGCATTTCATTCAAAATTGTGGATTGACAAAATTAATACAGGGCACAAAGAGTTCTATTAAGGCCAGTTACACAGTTAGAAAGCTTAATAGGATCAGTTGGTCCATTATGATTTTATAAATGAAAAGCCTTGTTCAAATACTTAAACCAATAAAATTAAAAATGATCCTCGTATTATTCCTTAGTATCCGTTGAATGGTAACTAGATGGTGTAAGTCTTTACATCTGTGGAATGGTAACTTGATCGTGTAAATCTTAAGTATCTGTGGAATAGTAACTAGATGTCACTAATTAGACCAATATGTACTATATGTTTTCCAGCACTTGGAATCTGTGTTATGGTAATAAGAATTCTGACACTGTAAAACTATTTGAAAATTTTTAGCACAAGTATTATATATTATGGTATCATCTGTCACTGGATATCTGCTTGAAGTTTTCCTATACAAGTAATCTATTTTATGGTAGCAAGGAGTTCCATGTGAAATTTTCCAGCACAATAAATCTGTTTAAATGTGTCTGACACTTGTTAGTAATTAAATATATATCTCTATTTTGATTATATAACTCATGCTTTAAAAAGTATTAAGAGCTTGTTGAACATTTATCTTAGTTTATCATTTTATTACATTACCACCTCTGTTATTTATCCTAATCAACCTTGACTTCAGATGGATCACGTTTGAACCATGTGGATGTTGACTGTCTTATGGAAGACATCAGTAAGGCTAAACAGGATCGAGTTTCCACACAGTGTGAACCACTACCAGAAGAAGCTAGCATAAAGAATGTTAAGGAGAAACTGTTGCTTGGGTAAATTATATTGGTCTTACTGAATGACATCTTTACACACATTAACTACACTAAATTTAATAAAAAAATTCAATTATGACACTTATAATTATTTCTTGCAATCTATTTATGTAACAGATGATTCAAATATCCTCTTTGCTCTCTCACTATCCAGGCTCATTTTGTCTGATTCTCTTACTAATCAGTCACTGCTAATCTGATTCTCTCACTAATCAGTCACTGCTAATCTGATTCTCTCACTAATCAGTCACCACTTATCCTGATTCTCTTACTGATCAGTCACCACAAACCTGATTCGCTTACTAATCAGTCACCACAAACCTGATTCTCTTACTAATCAGTCACCACAAACCTGATTCGCTTACTAATCAGTCACCACAAACCTGATTCTCTTACTGATCAGTCACCACAAACCTGATTCTCTTACTGATCAGTCACCACAAACCTGATTCTCTTACTAATCAGTCACCACAAACCTGATTCGCTTACTGATCAGTCACCACAAACCTGATTCTCTTACTAATCAGTCACCACAAACCTGATTCGCTTACTGATCAGTCACCACAAACCTGATTCTCTTACTGATCAGTCACCACAAACCTGATTCTCTTACTGATCAGTCACCACAAACCTGATTCTCTTACTAATCAGTCACCACAAACCTGATTCTCTTACTAATCAGTCACCACAAACCTGATTCTCTTACTGATCAGTCACCACAAACCTGATTCTCTTACTGATCAGTCACCACAAACCTGATTCGCTTACTAATCAGTCACCACAAACCTGATTCTCTTACTGATCAGTCACCACAAACCTGATTCTCTTACTGATCAGTCACCACAAACCTGATTCGCTTACTGATCAGTCACCACAAATCTGATTCTCTTACTAATCAGTCACCACAAACCTGATTCTCTTACTGATCAGTCACCACAAACCTGATTCGCTTACTAATCAGTCACCACAAACCTGATTCTCTTACTGATCAGTCACCACAAACCTGATTCGCTTACTGATCAGTCACCACAAACCTGATTCGCTTACTAATCAGTCACCACAAACCTGATTCTCTTACTGATCAGTCACCACAAACCTGATTCTCTTACTGATCAGTCACCACAAACCTGATTCTCTCACTAATCAGTCACCACAAACCTGATTATCTCACTGATCAGTCACCACAAACCTGATTCTCTTACTGATCAGTCACCACAAACCTGATTCTCTTACTGATCAGTCACCACAAACCTGATTCGCTTACTGATCAGTCACCACAAACCTGATTCTCTTACTGATCAGTCACCACAAACCTGATTCTCTTACTGATCAGTCACCACAAACCTGATTCTCTTACTGATCAGTCACCACAAACCTGATTCGCTTACTAATCAGTCACCACAAACCTGATTCTCTTACTGATCAGTCACCACAAACCTGATTCTCTTACTGATCAGTCACCACAAACCTGATTCTCTCACTAATCAGTCACCACAAACCTGATTCTCTTACTGATCAGTCACCACAAACCTGATTCTCTCACTGATCAGTCACCACAAACCTGATTCTCTTACTGATCAGTCACCACAAACCTGATTCTCTTACTGATCAGTCACCACAAACCTGATTCTCTTACTGATCAGTCACCACAAACCTGATTCTCTCACTAATCAGTGACCACAAACCTAATTCTCTTACTGATCAGTCACCACTAATCTGATTCTGTCACTAATCAGTCACCACAAACCTGATTCTCTTACTGATCAGTCACCACAAACCTGATTCTCTTACTGATCAGTCACCGCTAATCAGATTCTCTCACTAATCATTCACCACAAACCTGATTCTCTCACTGATCAGTCACCACAAACCTGATTCTCTTACTGATCAGTCACCACAAACCTAATTCTCTTACTGAGCTGTCACCACAAACCTGATTCTCTTACTGATCAGTCACCACAAACCTGATTCTCTTACTGATCAGTCACCACAAACCTGATTCTCTTACTGATCAGTCACCACAAACCTGATTCTCTTACTGATCAGTCACCACAAACCTGATTCTCTTACTGATCAGTCACCACAAACCTGATTCTCTTACTGATCAGTCACCACTAATCTGATTCTGTCACTAATCAGTCACCACAAACCTGATTCTCTTACTGATCAGTCACCACTAATCTGATTCTGTCACTAATCAGTCACCACAAACCTGATTCTCTTACTGATCAGTCACCACAAACCTGATTCTCTTACTGATCAGTCACCACAAACCTGATTCTCTCACTAATCAGTGACCACAAACCTGATTCTCTTACTGATCAGACACCGCTAATCAGATTCTCTCACTAATCAGTTACCACAAACCTGATTCTCTTACTAATCAGACACTGCTAATCTGATTCTCTCACTAATCAGTCACCACAAACCTGATTCTCTTACTGATCAGTCACCACAAACCTGATTCGCTTACTGATCAGTCACCACAAACCTGATTCTCTTACTGATCAGTCACCACAAACCTGATTCTCTTACTGATCAGTCACCACTAATCAGATTCTGTCACTAATCAGTTACCACAAACCTGATTCTCTTACTGATCAGTCACCACTAATCATATTCTCTCACTAATCGGTCACCACAAACCTGATTCTCTTACTGATCAGTCACCACAAACCTGATTCTCTTACTGATCAGTCACCACAAACCTGATTCTCTTACTGATCAGTCACCACTAATCTGATTCTGTCACTAATCAGTCACCACAAACCTGATTCTCTTACTGATCAGTCACCACAAAATTCTCCTGATTCGCTGTCACTAATCAGTCACCACAAACCTGATTCTCTTACTGATCAGTCACCACAAACCTGATTCTCTTACTGATCAGTCACCACAAACCTGATTCTCTCACTAATCAGTCACCACTAATCTGATTCTGTCACTAATCAGTCACCACAAACCTGATTCTCTTACTGATCAGTCACCACAAACCTGATTCGCTTACTGATCAGTCACCACAAACCTGATTCTCTTACTGATCAGTCACCACAAACCTGATTCTCTCACTAATCAGTCACCACAAACCTGATTCTCTTACTGATCAGTCACCACAAACCTGATTCTCTTACTGATCAGTCACCACAAACCTGATTCTCTTACTGATCAGTCACCACAAACCTGATTCTCTCACTAATCAGTGACCACAAACCTGATTCTCTTACTGATCAGTCACCACTAATCTGATTCTGTCACTAATCAGTCACCACAAACCTGATTCTCTTACTGATCAGTCACCACAAACCTGATTCTCTTACTGATCAGTCACCGCTAATCAGATTCTCTCACTAATCATTCACCACAAACCTGATTCTCTCACTGATCAGTCACCACAAACCTGATTCTCTTACTGATCAGTCACCACAAACCTAATTCTCTTACTGAGCAGTCACCACAAACCTGATTCTCTTACTGATCAGTCACCACAAACCTGATTCTCTTACTGATCAGTCACCACAAACCTGATTCTCTTACTGATCAGTCACCACAAACATGATTCTCTTACTGATCAGTCACCACAAACCTGATTCTCTTACTGATCAGTCACCACAAACCTGATTCTCTTACTGATCAGTCACCACTAATCTGATTCTGTCACTAATCAGTCACCACTAATCTGATTCTGTCACTAATCAGTCACCACAAACCTGATTCTCTTACTGATCAGTCACCACTAATCTGATTCTGTCACTAATCAGTCACCACAAACCTGATTCTCTTTCTGATCAGTCACCACAAACCTGATTCTCTTACTGATCAATCACCACAAACCTGATTCTCTTACTGATCAGTCACCACAAACCTGATTCTCTTACTGATCAGTGACCACAAACCTGATTCTCTTACTGATCAGACACCGCTAATCAGATTCTCTCACTAATCAGTTACCACAAACCTGATTCTCTTACTAATCAGACACTGCTAATCTGATTCTCTCACTAATCAGTCACCACAAACCTGATTCTCTTACTGATCAGTCACCACAAACCTGATTCGCTTACTGATCAGTCACCACAAACCTGATTCTCTTACTGATCAGTCACCACAAACCTGATTCTCTTACTGATCAGTCACCACTAATCAGATTCTGTCACTAATCAGTTACCACAAACCTGATTCTCTTACTGATCAGTCACCACTAATCATATTCTCTCACTAATCGGTCACCACAAACCTGATTCTCTTACTGATCAGTCACCACAAACCTGATTCTCTTACTGATCAGTCACCACAAACCTGATTCTCTTACTGATCAGTCACCACTAATCTGATTCTGTCACTAATCAGTCACCACAAACCTGATTCTCTTACTGATCAGTCACCACAAACCTGATTCTCTTACTGATCAGTCACCACTAATCAGATTCTCTTACTGAGCAGTCACCACTAATCAGATTCTGTCACTAATCGGTCACCACAAACCTGATTCTCTTACTGATCAGTCACCACAAACCTGATTCTCTTACTGATCAGTCACCACTAATCAGATTCTCTCACTAATCAGTCACCACAAACCTGATTCTCTTACTGATCAGTCACCACTAATCAGATTCTCTCACTAATCGGTCACCACAAACCTGATTCTCTTACTGATCAGTCACCACTAATCAGATTCTCTTACTGAGCAGTCACCACTAATCAGATTCTGTCACTAATCAGTCACCACTAATCAGATTCTGTCACTAATCAGTCACCACTAGTCTGATTCTGTCACTAATCAGTCACCACTAATCTGATTCTGTCACTAATCAGTCACCACTAATCAGTCACCACTAATCAGATTCTGTCACTAATCAGTCACCACTAATCAGATTCTGTCACTAATCAGTCACCACTAATCTGATTCTGTCACTAATCAGTCACCACTAATCTGATTCTGTCACTTATCAGTCACCACTATTCAGATTCTGTCACTAATCAGTCACCACTAGTCTGATTCTCTTACTAATCAGTCACCACTTTTCCTGATTCTGTCACTAATCAGTCACCACTAATCTGATTCTGTCACTAATCAGTCACCACTAATCAGATTCTGTCACTAATCAGTCACCACTAATCAGATTCTGTCACTAATCAGTCACCACTAATCAGATTCTGTCACTAATCAGTCACCACTAATCAGATTCTGTCACTAATCAGTCACCACTAATCAGATTCTGTCACTAATCAGTCACCACTAGTCTGATTCTCTTACTAATCAGTCACCACTTTTCCTGATTCTGTCACTAATCAGTCACCACTAATCAGATTCTGTCACTAATCAGTCACCACTAATCAGATTCTGTCACTAATCAGTCACCACTAGTCTGATTCTCTAACTAATCAGTCACCACTAGTCTGATTCTGTCACTAATCAGTCACCACTAGTCTGATTCTCTAACTAATCAGACACCACTAATCAGATTCTGTCACTAATCAGTCACCACTAATCTGATTTTGTCACTAATCAGTCACCACTTATCAGATTCTGTCACTAATCAGTTACCACATATCTTGATTCTGTCACTTATCAGTCACCACTAATCTGATTCTGTCACTAATCAGTCACCACTAGTCTGATTCTGTCACTAATCAGTCACCACTAATCAGATTCTGTCACTAATCAGTCACCACTAGTCTGATTCTGTCACTAATCAGTCACCACTAATCTGATTCTGTCACTAATCAGTCACCACTAGTCTGATTCTGTCACTAATCAGTCACCACTAGTCTGATTCTGTCACTAATCAGTTACCACAAATATGATTCTGTCACTAATCAGTCACCACTAATCAGATTCTGTCACTGATAAGTCTCCACTAATCTGATTCTATCAGTCATCAGTCACCACTAATCTGATTCTGTCACTAATCTGTCACCACTAATCTGATTCTCTCACTGATCAGTCACCACAAATCAGATTCTGTCACTATCCAGTCACCACTTATCTGACTCTGTCACTAATCAGTCACCACTTATCAGATTCTGTCACTAATCAGTTACCACATATCTTGATTCTGTCACTTATCAGTCACCACTAATCAGATTCTGTCACTAATCAGTCACCACTAGTCTGATTCTGTCACTAATCAGTCACCACTAATCTGATTCTGTCACTAATCAGTCACCACTAGTCTGATTCTGTCACTAATCAGTCACCACTAGTCTGATTCTGTCACTAATCAGTTACCACAAATATGATTCTGTCACTAATCAGTCACCACTAATCAGATTCTGTCACTGATAAGTCTCCACTAATCTGATTCTGTCACTAATCAGTCACCACTAATCAGATTCTGTCACTAATCTGTCACCACTAATCTGATTCTCTCACTGATCAGTCACCACAAATCAGATTCTGTCACTATCCAGTCACCACTTATCTGACTCTCTCACTATCTGGCCTGTCCTCAGAATGTGTTTTATTTGAATACAGGACTGGAGATGACTTGGCTTTGGGACGAGAGAAAGTGAAGGACTTTGTATCAGCCTTAAGTGATGTGATGGGCACCATCAACACCTTTCTGAAAGAGCATCAGCTGGAGGAGTTGGGTGAGGAAAACAAAATTGCTGAATGTAAAACTGAAATTACATCAGACAACCTACAGAGTGATGACAGCCGGCTTCAGGATTACAAACATGAGGATAACATACTGTCAGACACATCACCCAGATCTGAGATGGTTGGTTCAATTTCAGTAGCCTTGAAAGATGTACCAGACCTAGACCCACTGTCTAGAGAGAGTAGCATATCCTCCTCAGATGACAGTGACACAGGGGTGTTTGGGGGAGACTCTGGTGTAGAGTTTGATCATAAATCTTGTGGAGGGGCAGCTGTGATTCAGGGAGATAACAGCCCATTAACAGAACTCAAGTCTGACAGCACACCTGCTGCTAAGAAATCTGACACCCATTTTAATCCTGTTGTCCAGAACTTCTTTGCAAGAGGTGAGATATTCTATATGTGGTTGGTTCTTTTTGATATCCAGACCATTTAGCTGCAGAGTGCTGGTGTTAATGTTGATATATAGAAACATTGTCAAATCTTGCATGATTTGTTGAAGTTTACATTCAAGAGAATACCTAGTTATGGTATGATTTGTTGCTATGTTGTTAAAAGGGTGAATTTCATTTTTAGTTATTTCTGTATTGAATTTTTACAGCTTCTCTAGGGCGAGGGAGAGGATATGGGCGTGGTACTCCTGCAGCAATGGGCTATGGAAGAGGCATGGCAACACTACCTTTCCAGGGCTATGGCAGAGGTAATCGTCATATGATCAAAATAGGTGGCTGTCTTGTTCGTCCTTCATTTTGTGTCCAGATCATAATTTTGCCCACAGATAAGCAAGGATCATGAAACTTGCTATATACGTTGGTCATATAAAGAGTATGTGCAGTATACGAAATTCAAGGCCTACAACCCCTTAATCACAGAATTATTGCCATTTGATGAAATAAGTGGTCAGTGAAGTCGTTTTTAGGGAGAATTCCTCAGTTTCACTGATACTTTTGTCATTAAAATTGTTATAGAATTTTTTGTCGTGCTTTGGAAGAATTTAATATGGCTGTTGGATCAATTTTATGTAGGTAGGTAGTACTCTTCTAAGGGAAACAGAGAAATCTTTCTGATAAAGAGTCAAGTGCTGGGTCTCAAAATCTCCACCTTATCTAGCAAATCTAATGACAGGTATTTGTGTGCAAATAGAATTTCAGAGAAAAAATATTGTAATAAGGCAGGTTTCTCATCAACTGGTAGAGAAAACTGTGGTTGTCTCTTCCTGTATATTTGATACAGTCATGTACATGTAAATCCATAGTTATGTAGTGGTCACACTTCTGTGTATGTCTTTTTGTGGTGGTGGTTTGTGCAGTTTTTCTGTGTATGCCATTTTATGGTGGTGGTTTGGGCAGTGTTTCTGTGTATGTCATTTTATGGTGGTGGTTTGGGCAGTGTTTCTGTGTATGCCATTTTATGGTGGTGGTTTGAGCAGTGTTTCTGTGTATACCATTTTATGGTGGTGGTTTGGGCAGTGTTTCTGTGTATGCCATTTTATGGTGGTGGTTTGGGCAGTGTTTCTGTGTATGCCATTTTATGGTGGTGGTTTGGGCAGTGTTTTGTGTATGCCATTTTATGATGGTGGTTTGAGCAGTGTTTCAGTGTATACCATTTTATGGTGGTGGTTTGGGCAGTGTTTCTGTGTATGCCATTTTATGGTGGTGGTTTGGGCAGTGTTTCTGTGTATGCCATTTTATGGTGGTGGTTTGGGCAGTGTTTCTGTGTATACCATTTTATGGTGGTGGTTTGGGCAGTGTTTCTGCGTATGCCATTTTATGGTGGTGGTTTGGGCAGTGTTTCTGTGTATGCCATTTTATGGTGGTGGTTTGGGCAGTGTTTCTGTGTATGCCATTTTATGGTGGTGGTTTGGGCAGTGTTTCTGTGTATGCCATTTTATGGTGGTGGTTTGGGCAGTGTTTCTGTGTATGCCATTTTATGGTGGTGGTTTGGGCAGTGTTTCTGTGTTGTCACTTTGTATTTCTTTTTACGTTTAATCAATATATTTCCTAAGCCACTTAACTATGGAAATTTTTCTCAATATTGATACAAAAATTAAGTATGAGAATACCTTTGACTAGTGTTTTAGGGCTCTAAGTTCAAAGTCATCATTATTTTGTCTATGTAAAGAATTTTTGTCAGTGTTGACAGTCAGTTCAATGCAAGTAGGAGGATTCATGTCTCACAAACATTTACAAGATTTTTGCATGTTTTACAGGTATTGGACAGTAGTTTTGGAGGAGAAATTGGAAGTGATATTGTAGCTGGATTCTGCCTGTTGAAAATCCTGGTGTGAACTTGTAAACAGGAGCAGGATGCCACTCTTTACAGCTGTGTAATATCTGTTTAAAAATCTCTGCAATTCCACATGATATTTCAACTATATCAACCAGCAGTGTTATACCCAGATTTTCAGCTGCTGACTCCTTTTTTACAAAAGATATGGTAAATCATTTAACTTTTAAATTGTCTTTGTATACAGTGCTCAGATGATAGAAACATAAATGGCCAGTTATATCACTAAACCTGGTTGAAATTTTAAATTTTGTAAGGAAGTACAAATGCATTGTCCTGCAGAAAGATTTTAATTTTGATATTTAAATTTTATTTTTTAAAATAGTATACATGTATGTGTAAATTTATCTTTATTTCTAGGCCTGGAATCAATAGTGAAGAATGCTAAAAAGAATAATGTATTTTTAAAAAAGTCTTGAATGTTTACAGAATGCTTAGATTAAAAGTAAAATTGATTCTGTTACTCAGAATGGTTAGGTTTAAAGTTGATGATTCTGTTACTCGGAATGGTTAGGTTTAAAGTTGATGATTCTGTTACTCGGAATGGTTAGGTTTAAAGTTGATGATTCTGTTACTCGGAATGGTTAGGTTTAAAGTTGGTGATTCTGTATACGGAATGGTTAGGTTTAAAGTTGATTATTCTGTTACTCAGAATGGTTAGTTTTAAAGTTGATGGTTCTGCTACTCAGAACAGTTAGGTTTAAAGTTGATGATATATTTGCTCTTTGGAGTCATTGTAACGGCAAATGTTAAAAAAATGTTTTGTAGGGAGTGAATTGTAGTCACAGGCTTTTACACTTGTTGCCATATTGTTGAATTTGAACTGAATCATATACATTTTATTATAGGGCTGGGACAATTGAGATGTATGTTTTCCTTCAGATGTATTAGGAATTGATATTATATAATTTCTGGTTCACGTTACGTTGGGGAAATCGTTGTGATGAACAGCATTTCTTTTTGTGTTTTGAATTTCTCTAAATTCTTGACATTTTAATTGTATTTCTGGTTTCTCAAACTTTTCCAATTGCTTGTTTTTGGCTTTGAAGAAATGACTAGGTCTTCTGTTCATGAAAAAAAATTCTTCTTCTGAAAAAGGTAAGGACAATTTCACTTCACACTTTCACTTTCAAAATACACAGATTTGCTATATAACCAAAAAATATGCAAACAGAAATCTTAAGGAAAACTTCATTGTTATCCAATGACATTATTCTAGAAACAAAATTCAGTGAAAACACTTTGATTTGAAACTATCATGGTACTGTGATATATGCCATTTTATACTGTAAGTGTGAAGTCCCAGTCCTAATTTTAAAACTTCATATTTTTACTATTTAATCAATCTTAGCTGTATTTGAAAAAGAAAAAAAATTCTTATTAAAAGATATAACTCAGTGTTAATAGAATTATGTCCATACAGAAGTTACCACTTTTTATGTCAAAGTCCTTTAAGAGTGACCTGTCATGTTTTCATTAACGTGTTGATTTCAGTTAAGTCTATATTAGGAACATAGGAGAGCCAATCTCGGAAGATAATTGGTTGCAAACTTATTACAGGTATACAGAGTAGATATAATACCTATACTTAAACATTCTTGGTTAATTTGAGAAGTGATGGGTCATTCTTTTTGGACTAGTTTAGCAACTAAGCTTTGTTGCTCTGATGTCAAAATGACACATGAGCGCTAGTTGGCCTTATGATCTTCATCTGTAACAAGCTTCATTATCAGAGTCTACTCTCAGACATAAGTCTTAATGAAAACATAATTGTTTAAAAATCTAAGTATTGTTGTGAATGTTATTGAGAGTGAAGTTTAAACCAAAGTACATACATATCTTGTTTCCAGTTTTTTTTATAATTACTTAGATGTCCTCAGTTTAAAACATACCTTTTATAATACATGAACAATGTTTGAAGATAGTGAAGCTTGATACAGTTGAGACCATTGTCTATAAAGTTGGGTCCTTTGTCTCATGTCTTGTGAGATGAGTTGTTATCCAGTGCATGTCGTCATGGTGACTTCATGTACATTATCTCTTCCTCTGCATTGCATCACTATGATGGGAAAAAAAAGATATAAATAAAGACGCAATTTACTTCAGTGGTTCCTCTTACTCTCACACAGATGTGTTGTTGATAATAGTTAGAGTGGTACACCACAAGGTTTCTTGATTATGTTATATTTCTTTTATCAAAGTAAAGTTTTTTTTTCATGTGGGTCCATTTTGTCTGGTGGTATGCCACAATGTTTCTTCATTATGTTATATTTCCTGTATCATAAGTAGAGTTTTTTTTCACGAATGTCCATTTTGTCTGGTGGTATGCCACAATGTTTCTTCATTATGTTATATTTCCTGTATCATAAGTAGAGTTTTTTTTCACGAATGTCCATTTTGTCTGGTGGTATGCCACAGAGTTTCTTGATTATGTTATATTTCCTGTATCATAAGTAAAGTTTTTTTTTCACGAATGTCCATTTTGTCTGGTGGTATGCCACAATGTTTCTTCATTATGTTATATTTCCTGTATCATAAGTAGAGTTTTTTTTCACGAATGTCCATTTTGTCTGGTGGTATGCCACAGAGTTTCTTGATTATGTTATATTTCCTGTATCATAAGTAAAGTTTTTTTTTCACGAATGTCCATTTTGTCTGGTGGTATGCCACAATGTTTCTTCATTATGTTATATTTCCTGTTTCATAAGTAGAGTTTTTTTTCACGAATGTCCATTTTGTCTGGTGGTATGCCACAGAGTTTCTTGTTTATGTTATATTTCCTGTATCATAAGTAAAGTTTTTTTTTCACGAATGTCCATTTTGTCTGGTATATTTCTTCATTATGTTATATTTCCTGTATCATAAGTAGAGTTTTTTTCATATGGGTCCATTTTGTCTGGTGGTATGCCACGAATTTCTTGTTTATATTATATTTCCTTTATCATATGTAAAGTTTTTTTCATATGGGTCCATTTTGTCTGGTGGTATGCCACAGAGTTTCTTGTTTATGTTATATTTCCTGTATCATAAGTAAAGTTTTTTTTTCACGAATGTCCATTTTGTCTGGTGGGATGGCACAGAGTTTCTTCATTATGTTATATTTCCTGTATCATAAGTAGAGTTTTTTTCATATGGGTCCATTTTGTCTGGTAGTACACCACCGAATTTCTTGTTTATATTATATTTCCTTTATCATATGTAAAGTTTTTTTTTCACGAATGTCCATTTTGTCTGGTGGTATGCCACAGAGTTTCTTGATTATGTTGTATTTCCTTTATCATAAGTAGAGTTTTTTTTCACGAATGTCCATTTTGTCTGGTGGTATGCCACAGAGTTTCTTGTTTATGTTATATTTCCTGTATCATAAGTAAAGTTTTTTTTTTCACGAATGTCCATTTTGTCTGGTGGTATGCCACAGAGTTTCTTGTTTATATTATATTTCCTTTATCATAAGTAGAGGTTTTTTTTCACGAATGTCCATTTTGTCTGGTGGTATGCCACAGAGCTTCTTGTTTATGTTATATTTCCTGTATCATAAGTAGAGTTTTTTTCATATGGGTCCATTTTGTCTGGTAGTACACCACCGAATTTCTTGTTTATATTATATTTCCTTTATCATATGTAAAGTTTTTTTCATGTGGGTCCATTTTGTCTGGTGGTATGCCACAGAGTTTCTTGTTTATGTTATATTTCCTGTATCATAAGTAAAGTTTTTTTTTCACGAATGTCCATTTTGTCTGGTGGTATGCCACAGAGTTTCTTCATTATGCCGTATTTCCATCAGTGCAAGTAAATTTATATTTTCTTTTATATGGATCCATTTTTTCTGGCTGTGCACTGCAGGGCTGTCTGATGTTGTTGTATTTTCTTTATCATAATAGATGTATATTTTTTTCATGGTTCATTTCCTTTGGCTTTAAAATGCAGGGTTCCATGAATTTGTTGTATATACTTATATAGTTAGCAAAATAAATTTCTGTTTTTTTATGTTGGCCCATTGCTAAAAATGGCCATATATGTTAACATTATTTGCTTCATATGTTTGATAAAAAAATGTGATGTTTGACTCCATTTTCTTGGTGCAATTTTATAGAATGTTTGTAACATCAGTATTATGTAAAAAAAACATTTAAATGAATGTGTTATCATGGTGACCATAATTATTCATCTCTCCTAATTGTTTTATCATATAACCTTGCTGTATTTTGGTCACATGAGACAAAGTCTTATGCTTCGTTACTTTGGTATTTGTCAGTAATCATTCACCTGAGACAAAATTTTATTCCCCATTACTAACTAAAGGCGTTTGTCAGTAATCAGTCATTGAGACAAAGTCTTATGCTTCATTACTAACTAAAGGCGTTTGTCAGTAATCAGTCATTGAGACAAAGTCTTATGCTTCATTACCATGGTATTTGTCAGTAATCCGTCATTGAGACAAAGTCTTATGCTTCATTACCATGGTATTTGTCAGTAATTAGTCACTTGAGACAAAGTCTTATGCTTCATTACCATGGTATTTGTCAGTAATCCGTCATTGAGACAAAGTCTTATGCTTCATTACCATGGTATTTGTCAGTAATCAGTCATTGAGATAAAGTCTAAAGGTGTTTGTCAGTAATTAGTCACTTGAGACAAAGTCTTATGCTTCATTACCATGGTATTTGTCAGTAATCCGTCATTGAGACAAAGTCTTATGCTTCATTACCATGGTATTTGTCAATAATCAGTCATTGAGATAAAGTCTAAAGGTGTTTGTCAGTAATTAGTCACTTGAGACAAAGTCTTATGCTTCATTACCATGGTATTTGTCAGTAATCAGTCATTGAGATAAAGTCTAAAGGCGTTTGTCAGTAATTAGTCACTTGAGACAAAGTCTTATGCTTCATTACCATGGTATTTGTCAGTAATCAGTCATTGAGACAAAGTCTTATGCTTCATTACCATGGTATTTGTCAGTAATTAGTCACTTGAGACAAAGTCTTATGCCACATTATTATG